CCAAGAAATGGTAGGTGTCGTATATAAGGAAGTACGACACCGGTGTCGTATAGAACTAGTCTATAACACTACCGATTTATTTACAGGAGTAGTAGTCTACACCCCACCTATTTTGCCTAAATAAACATTTTCATCTACAATACATAGTCTATGTAGTACTTCTTCGGGCAACGTGGGAATCGCTTATGGCAGGGGTTGACGGCGCGCACGCTCCTGCGACTTCGTCTGTGTCTGTCTACAAAGTGGTCTAGACCACGGCCGTAGCCCATTGACGTGTTTACCTCAAGATGATGCGGAAAAAGCTCGGTGCCCGCGGGAGCTCAGCACAGCTACTGTTCCGATCGGCCGGCCCCACCGGTGCTAGGATACTGGAGGTACAGGATATTTGTCTCCTGGGCCCTGGGGCAAACGCCTCCTCTCCGCGGTTGCCCACACTAAACCCAGATGTTTACTCTCAACACCACATCACCATCCTCTGAGCGGACGACAGATCGAGCCATATGCCATGCCTTTGCCCACCAAAGGCAAATCACTGCTGTGAGTGTTGAACCTGATACGTCGATTGTCGAGCTTGCGAGAATTCCATACATTAACAGTCGGGTATATACGCTGGCTAAATTATCAATCACTTCCTTAGATCCTGTCACACTGTCCTCTACGTACAGTCCAGCATCTCCACAGATGTAGCATAATAGCTGAACAATCGCCCCCGTAGAACGGGCGGGTGCGCAAGTGTATCACAAGTAACGCAAGATATCACACCCTGGTGCCACTGTAATATTTTTATATTTTGCCGTATGAATAAGTCTTCGAAAACTGTGTGTGTGGCATTCCCGGTTTTGGAAGGAGTTCCGGCGAAGCGTATTTTTGCTCTTGGAAAGTTGTTGACAAATGTCCACCCTCCTCGTTTTTTCCCAACGAGATCGGGGGCACCATAGATCCGTGTATTACGGACCCGTGGCGTCGGACGCGTTGGTCCAGCGTGTCCCTGCGACACCGGGGTCGCACTGCCGTTCTTCTCGCGATATCAACAGGGCTGCGAAGGTCAAATGGGATTCACTTTCGTTGGCGTGTATACGCAGAATGCGGCCAATTCCTACTGGCACCGGTTGCTTGACCATCCAGAACTACTCTCCCCCGCCTGTTGCGGCGGGTCACGTACTGCGGCATTGGGGTGGTGTAAGGCGCATGCCGTCGTCATTGTACCGGGCACAACAGGCGTATCGGTTCCTCCCCTGAAGTACAGCAAGCCGCCGCTCAGTCACAAGTCTTGGCCAAGACAGGTTTGTAGGGATCGTTTCATCGGCCAACACCAGGCATTTCTCTTGTAGGCCTGGTGGGACTCAGTCATGAGGAGTTACGATAAGAAACAGCCTACCTATCCGCCCCCTCATTTCATTTCCTACCCACGTAATCTTGGTGGGCTTGGTGGGACTCAATCAGTCCACCAAGATATATCAACGGGCTCAACAACAGAGAGAGACTCGACAAAAACGAGTCGACGAGAGAGGGAGGCCGGAGGGGCAAGAGCACGGAAGTCATTGTGGGGAGACAACCAAGCCCGTAGAGAGGGAAAAGCCGGGTATCGTGGTGTATTTTTCGCTAAGCGAGGAAACCCTCCGGAACATGATCGGTTTCTGCCTATTTATGCACCCGGCGGAAGACAGACACACACATACATGAGGGCGACGAGAGCCGCGGGAGGAGAGTTGCAGGGAGCGGGGAAGGAGAGAGCAACCAGGGTTGTGTCGCGGCGGGGTGGAGGAGGGAATAGGGCTAAGGAACAACAGCTCTTTACCCGTTGGTAGGATCACACACTCATACACACACAGAGTAAGACCGGGTGTTAGTTACGGGAACGAGGTGAGTCAATCACGTGCGCCGCAGGGGTTGAGCGCGAGCATGTCAAATGCGACATACAGAGCACCATGTTCACAAACTTCACCGGCACCTCACAATCCGTCCCCTTCCGTTGTCAACCCTCCCCACAGGCAGGTGCCCCATTCGTCCGCAATTCCACCTTCCCGCAGCATCATCTATATTTCCCCCCGTGGTGGCGGGAGTTCGTTTCAGATGGATGCGGCGGTCTGGGGTCGGGGGATTTGAAAGCACTGGGGGCACCGGGGTGGGCGGGATAGCCACTGGGGACGGCACTGCGGCCTAACACTTGATGCCAGCGGTGACATGCATGTAAATCTCGATTTGAACGTGGAATTTGCTCGTTTTTTGGGCTTTCGACCGGACCCCGACCGTATGATCTATAAGAGTAGTTTCATAGAGAAAAGGGTGGGGCTTACAACCAACTGTCCCACAGGGGTCTCAACTCAACTTCCACAGGGAACCCCGCCCCCTTCACACAAACAGACAGAGTACCCCCCGCATCTATCCCAAGCAAAATCCAACCACACCAACTGCTTCCAAACAATTTCCCCATTCCAATATATTTATCACCCCACGCTGTTTATACGTTCGAGTCTTTCGCCATCCGAAATTTCCCAGGATGGTGTGTTTCGGCCGCAAGATGGGCTCAACACAAAGGACTATTACATACTCCATATACCCACCTCTTTGATCCAAGCGTGCACATGCCGACATTACCATGTAGTCTAGACCACAGCAAAAGGGTAGAAACAAAGGGTAGAAACAAAGGGTAGAAATAAACCGTGGTTGGGTTCACACGCACGCACAGCACCAAGAACACGGCGGGGTGGGGGTGGAGGGGCAGGCAGAGAGGTCGTAGTCAACACCGCGAATGGCCGCCTGGCGGGGCAAGAGTGTGCTCTGTACGAAGCACCCTCGCCACACCCCGGCGCAGGCGAGAAAGGAAACGGAAAGAAAAAGAACGGGTTTGCACACCAAACAGGCGTTGCACAGAAACACCGGGGACCGGGATGAGGCTGGTACCGCAAGGCGTTTTCCCCCACAAAAATCGTTCACGTTTTAGGCCCCTGCCCCCCCCTTCATCGACTCCTCCTCCTTGGCTTTCTCTGAACCTCCGGCGAAACCCAAGGATTTATTGGCAGCATGGGACTGCTGTTACAATTTCGATGATGCGGGAAGCGGCGGGTGAGGAATGGGAGGTGGTGAATTGGGGATAGAGGGGCTCACGGCGGCTTCTTTCTGGCATATACGTCTTCGTTTTCCTTGACCCAATACTCAAAATCAACCAATGGGTGCGCTATTTTGCATTACGCGAACGGAACAGTTCCTCTGCGTTCAGGAAAAAATGAAGTGCGGGGAAGAAAGAAATAAACAACTTCAGTGAGTACTCGTACCTGACCCGAAGCCAACGCGGATGGCGACATCGCCGGCTTTACTGGCGGTCCAGTAGCGGCAGAAGCACCAGCGGCATCTTTCGGAGATGAAGACGGTGGATCGCCGGCATCGTTTTTGGTGCTGCCGCCGGGGTCGACTGCCGAGTCACTCTGGGGGAGCAACGCCGAAGAAATTCGACGGGAAATCTCCTGGCAACGACGAGAAGAAGGGCGGTGGGTAAAGGTATCAAAGTTGAGCGACGTGAATGCAGCCTCAGGACGAACGTGAATTGACCACGATATCGATGACTGCACAGATGCAACAGCTGCAACAACCGCAGCACTCGTGCCACGGCGGCTAGTCCAACAACAACAACTACGTCAACCACTGCAACAGTTGCACGAAGCCGGTCTGTACCTTTGCCATGACGGAGGTTTTTCTTGCAACGCTGACGGAAGATTTTCGTCTGGCCTGTCCTCCTTCCCGCTTCAACTCCGCCGCCGCGGCGGCCTCCGCCTCCATGGCCTGAAGAGAGCAGCGGAAAGGCGAGAATAGTAGAGGAGAATTTTGAGCACGACCATGATTCTCGTTATATCCAGCTTCAGCACTTCTGGGTGTTGTCGTTGTAGTTTGGAGCGTAGAAGCCTCTCTAACCAATCCCCCATCATCCAAGCAACGCTCCCTCGTACACACGAGCGATCTCGGCTTACCAACTCTTCGGCCGTGTCTTCCACGTCGACGTCGACCCACTTGGTGAAGGCGTACACGAACTCTCCGAAGCTGATATCGCCGTTGCTATCCCAGTCCATCTCATCCCATCGCTCCTGCGGTTGCGACGCGACACTGATAATCATCGCCGTTTGTTAACCATGTTCGCTTCGCACTTCTGTTTGGTAATGTTGAGTTCTGTTCTCCCCCACTCTCCCCCCTCCGCCACCCCCCTTCTTCTCGCCCTGTCGACTCAGGCTGTGGACTGCACAGGCACAGCCACAACATGAGCAAAATGACGAAACGTTTGTGAGCCCTAAAGAGGTGTTTACTACTGTACCAGGTATGCCATATTCGCAGCCATACACTCTCCGTGGGGAACAATGACATCGGCAGCAGCAATGTTGGCGATTGTAACGGATGCTTTTCATCGTTTCCTATCACGGCAGCGCAAATATGGCGGCTGCCGCAGCAGGCACATTGCGTACGTTTGTGCCCAATTCGAGTATTCTGGCGCACTTCTGGAAAAGCTGTCGAAGATCAAATTCATTGCCATCATAAGAAGAATGCTAAGCATTAACAGCAACAGCAGCAGCAGCAGCAGCAGCAGCAACAAAAGCAACAACAACGGTACCTGCGAGAGAATGCTCATGCTGCCTTCGTCCTTCTGCCCGTTTTCCGCCACGACGATCATCACCTGCTCCCGGCTGATTACCCCCTTGCACTCCTTGTCGAACAACAAGTAGGCGTACCTTCGATTTGCAGCCAAACACAGTCTTTCTTCAGACGAGACGAATAGGTGAACGACATTACTTTACAATAGAAAAGGACACAACCCCGCGGGACTCTCTGTGACCCGGCTAACTCGTGAGAGCCGGGGCACTCCACACCTTTCGCTACTACTGTAACGGAGGATATCTAGTTCAAATTATTCTTCCAACCGTCGCCGTCGTCTCTCGAGATGTGTGTCTTGAGCCTAACACAGCGCTGGTTAGTGTCGAAAAATCAGCCACTACTCGTGACGTCGCTCACGTGAACAGCTCAAGCGCGTTCCGCACGGTCTGCTCGTTGTTGTAGAAATTGCTCATCCGCCGCCCCGCCGCGCGAGCAGCCGCCTCCGCCTCGGCATTCGCCGGTTTCTGCACCATTAAGAGGGTTGTTGTAGTTGTGCGGTTGGGGATGGGGATAAGGGGGTGAGATAGCGAGTGTTCGCGAGGGCTAGGGCACATCAACAGGTGCCCTCGCCTCGGCGTTTCCTGCGGGCTTTCGCGGGCTGGGAAGAGTACTACGTAAGCGTGAAATTGTGGCTGGGCGAGTGTGGTCCGATTCGCAAGGCTAGACGTACCTCCAGCACGCGAGAGTTGGGGCGCGAGACCGAAGCGTTCGGAAAAACCCGGGCGTTCGCGATTAAGCCCCACGCACCCCATGAAGGACCATGGAATCTTGAAGGTCTATTCTTGTCCCAGGGTTCGGTTATGCATGATATTGAGCAGCCATCCATGCACCGGTTCGCGCGTACTGCCTACAACATAATCCTTGCAAAACACTCTTCGGCTCTAGGCACGCACCTCCATTAGGTCGGGGATGGCGTCCAGCACGTAGCCCATGGCGAGAACCACGAGAAACTGCTTCATCGTCAGCTGATTATCCTCGTAAAAGTCGGCCATCTTTCCGGCGGCAATAACCCCCCGTCACGCACACGAAAAATAAGTAAACAGGACACGTTTTTGTCAAGTACGAGTTTTTCGTCCCGCTTTGGGGGCGACGCCTTATTCACAGGTCTACATTTTTCAAGTTTCTACCGCGTCTTCGCAACACCCGAGCAATGGCAGGATGGAATGACGTAGCAAAAAACGACTTGTTCCGCCATAGCTGGTACAATCCGTTTCCACCAAAGGGCTCTGCTTACCTCAGAGGTACGTCGGTGAGCTTTGATCCGGTCGCTTCTTGTTCTTCGATTCTACAGTTTTCATTATAATACTGTGTCCTGCAAGCAGATTCCGGCTGAGACGTATTGTGACAAAGAAGTTTTCTCCGTCACATGCTCCAGCTGCTGCACATGTCTTGAATAGGTGTGGCCGTTATGTCATCGCACTCGTTTCTCTACTTCACCTTGAACAAGGCTTTGATCTCGTCCTCTGACAGGTTGACCTTGAGATCCTTCATCGCGGTGGACATTTCGCACATGTCGATGCGCCCACTCTGGTCTGTGTCCCGGTCGTGAAACACCCGCCGGATGGCGTTCATGACTTTTGGCGTCATTTAGCAGGGCGAAGAGAGAGAGAGAGAGAGAGAGAGAGAGAGACAGACAGACAGACAGACAGACAGACAGACAGACAGACAGACAGAGGCAGACAGACAGACAGAGGCAGACAGAGGCAGACAGACAGGCTGATACTTCATTATTTGCCAACGACGACCGAACCCTCGCTTCGCCGGGGTGTGGGAAGAATATAGAAGGAGAGCACGTATTGTGAACTTTGGCGTGGCGGTAATAATAGCAGCAGCGCTCTACCCCACATCATTGAAAAGATCTGTCCCCTCGGTTAAGTCCATGCCATGCAGTGCACGCAGAAAACACGTATTCCTAATTTCTCCTGCGATGCAGAGTAAATCTTGGGTGCCCCTAGACAAAGGAAGCTGGGCTTCACAGCGCCCTACTCCTATCCGACCATCGACGACCCTGTTGCTCACATGTCCGAACGGTGCCAAGCTTGAGAAGCACCCTATGGGAAAGGTGGGAAGAAAAATCGAGCACGAGGAGGGGAGGGATGCGTCTTGTTTTTTCACCTCACACCACCAACATCGCTGGTATCATATCTATATCTTCCCGTAATGTATGTGACTACGATAGTGCGCCCTACGCTCACGGAGGACCGCGGCCGACCCAAGAGCACTTTGAGGGGATATTGGTGAGGCGGGCACACGCCTCTGCAATGTATGGGATTCATCTCGAATTCATGTTCCAATAATGTTTTTCACTCTCCCAAGCTCTTGAGTGTTTGTGCGTGTCCGAAAAGCTCGCTGCACTTATCGCAGTCTTTGACGGAAAAAGATAGCCCCAACCGTACTCAGGCTGCATGTTGCCCCCCTTGTATCGACCTCACCTCGTGAAGCTCATCTCCTGCTTGAACTTGGTGCGATACTCCTCCTTTTTGGACTGGAGCGCCACCATCAGCTGTTGGTGTTCACCGGCGAACAAGTAATGAAGTAGGCACGTACCGGCAAGCACTGTTAAGAACGAAGAAGCAGCCCACATTAGAACGAAAGACGACCCCGAAATGGACTATATTGGCGTCACGTACTTGCGTTGTACCAAGAAACATTGAGAACGCCTCCACCGCCGTCTAATAGCGGCGTAAAATCGACGTGTGAGCATGAGACAGGCTTTGTCATACCGGTGTTTCTCCACAAACAAACGTGGTGTACCTTAGACTGCATCCCGGTGACCTCATCGCTCGCGATGGCCACCGCCGAGGGGGCGTTGAGGCGCCCCATGCACCCGCCGAACAGGAGGGCACTGCTAAGGGTCATTCTCGGAAGAATATATGACGAGGGAGCTCACGGCAGCAATGGCACTTCACCTGTGGCACGGGCGTCATGTGGGAATTGGAGGGACGAAGGTTCGTGGTTGGTTACGGTTGTAGATATCGCTAAAAAGGAGAAACGGCTGGGCGTAGCCGTGGCGGCGACAGATGTCTGGGGGGCACTGTGATGGAAATCATAACATGTTTATCCACGAAACAGGCACGGGACGGAGTTGCCGCAACCTGGAAGGTGCTTGCACACGTAAGCGGGGGTGGGTGGGCCTCGAGCAGGGCATTGGTGCACAGAAGTCATCTCCACGGTGGGCAACGTGTGCGTGGTGTATGGTAAACGATGTGCAGACTGACCTCTTTAGATTTCGTACGTAGGCAAGCGGGCGTCTTGAGGGTTCGAGATGCCCGCACGGTGATATCTTTCAGTCTGTCATGAATAGGTTGGTCGCACAGTTGCCCAGCTTCTGGATGCGGTGCTCCGAGAGAGCAACAAGTGGTCGTGGCCGCTCTGTGAGTGATCCAACATGTCGCTGAAGAACCAAAGGGAGCTTTCTTTTGAGGAGCAGAACAACAGCGGATCCATGCTCCCGACGGGAAAGCTTCAGGAACGAGTGATCAGCAGTCTTTGCGTGTATACGTCGAGTGTTGTCTGAGGGCGATATCACCTCCAAGCTAACTCACTGAAGCACGTGCGGTAGAGCGCTTGTCTGGAACTCCCACAATGACTGGTCGATGCTCGGTGTGAGTGGAGAATCATCAGCAGTACAGTACTGCTGTGACACAGTAGTGCCCTTGGCAGGTGTAACTTGTTACTGCTAGGCTCTTCATACTCGCTGAGCCTTTAGAACAGTAAATACCCGCTGGTAATGAAGAACGATATTCGGGTTGAGGTTCAATTCTTTCTTCGTCGCCATTGTCGAGCTGGACTAAGATATTGGATGTACAGCTAGTGGTAACCACCCCACGACTGTTTCTTGTCAGATTTAGAAAAAATTTTGTTCTGATTCGAAAATAGGCGTTCCTGGGATTTTGTAGTGCTGGATGCTGAAAGCCTCAGATACCGCACGTGATACGAATGCTGCTCGGTCGGGAATTACGCCGACATGGCTCCTCTTGTACCTCGACGAACGCGGACTCTACGAACCCAACACTTTCGATGTTGTTGTGACCAGTTCTCCACAGACACAGCCCATGACCCCCGGCTGCCATCTCGAGCGTGGCACGTGTTTGTATTCGCTGAAAGTGGTCCAAAAATTTATGCAAGGCCGGAGAGAATTTACAATTTTTTCGGTCCATTTGGCCCTGTTTGAGCGGGGCGGCGCTGGATGCGTGCTTACACCGCTGTTTCGTTTACATGCACCGCAGTCCACCCTCCAACAAAATTATTTCGTTGGTCCGAGTACACCCCACAAATCACGGGTCTCTGTCAAGAGTAATCCCAGCAAGATTCAAACTCTTCCTTGTGCCCGGTAAGGGCATCCAGTTTGTCCGCAGGCGTACTCTCTGGGTTTGCTTCTAGACGCACCTTGCACGCAGCTCGGCGTGCGCAAGCGACCGTTTCGGTGGTGGGTAGAAACTTCGTTCCGGCGGAAGACCAGGCGGCCTCGACCAGCAGTTTATTCCATGATGACACGGCTAGTCTTCGGGTCTTTCCTCCTGTCTCATTCAGCGCGTGGTGTAGAAAGCTAAAGCTTTCCTTGAACGAGAGGTAGAGGGTGAGAGAGGGCAAAGAGTTGAGGATTAAGGAGTTGAGGCTTGGGCGGGGTCCTGCGCGCGAAAGACGAACCGGCGCAAGTCTCGCCGCGGAATATGTTATACGAAAAAAATTGGAGTTCTTATTACAATTCTCTCCCCGTGTAGGCGTAGGTCATCTTTTCGCAGAGGGCTAATCATTAAAGGAGAATTGGTGGAAATCGCCGGCATCATGTTTGGCGTTTGGCGTGTGGCCAGGCCTGGTCGATGAGTGTCGACTTGGGCAGTGTGGATGGCTGGATCTTTTGGACAGGGGGGCACCGCCATGGAGGTAACCCCCCCTACCAAGTCACCACCATGTGCAGTAGTCACGACTGGTCGATACCACACCACGACAGCGCAGCAGAGAGCCGGCACGGCAGACAGTGAGAGGAGAGGGTGGAGCGTTATAGAAGAGAGGGCGTTCATCCAATCACCCCGGCTAGTTACCAGACCATCACGCCTGCAGGAGGACTTTCCCTCAACATACCCGAACTACAAGCGTTGTTCGTGGTGTAGCTTCGTGCTGCGGGACGGACAACACCACCTTGCCCACCTCACCGCTGCTGCAGAGGCATGCCGTGGCCTTTCTGCCCGTCGTGCGGGAGCGTATTGGACCCTCCGGAGTCTGGGGACATCTTGTGTGACCACTGCCACTTGCGGACATCCTATGAAAGTGAGTGGACGGTGCGTGATATATTGCGCCGCATATTCAAACCCCAGGTACCGTAAGGTTGCGAGTCAGCGCACAGGGGTGCAAACGATTAAGGCTGATTCTTGTACACCTGGATTCCTGAGGTAGACTCCTGGGGGGTGGGTGTAGATCGACCCAGAGGACATAATCGGCGAGTGCGACCTGAGTTCTCGGCGTATCGCTCCCATCAAGGGCTCCCAGCAACCCTACGCCAAAGGGCTTGCTATTCTGCACGCTGGCTGTTGATGGCGGCTCGGCACACGTGTGTAAAAACACTCATCGCATCGCACCAAGCATGTGTTGTGTGTGTTTTCGTCCTATTTATTATGGCGACAGTCCTCCCATTTTTCGTGGTGAGACGTGTATTACACGTTTTCAGCGTATATAGGATACAACACTTTTCAGTGTATTTTTTCGTACAACTACAACCATCCAGGGTCACACAGGAGGGGGTAAACACCAGGGCTTTTTTCTTCGTTTTTATTTATTTTCATGCCCCACCTTCCTCCTGCGGTGCGTGCTGAATTTTTATTTCTATCGCGGGAAGGGTCCAGCCGTCCCTTTCCCTCGTCAACGGTGCTAACGTCGAAGGTTGGTACTCTCGAGAGCTTTTCAGCAAGTTTCGCTTTCACCCGCAAAGTTTGCAAATTTTTCACCCCCGTGGGGATTCGAACTCACGACCCTCTGCAACTAGCGGTTCACGAGGGCACCACTATACCACCGGGGCGACCGGTTTAAGCATTGGAGACGCCGAAACAGGTCAACCCGCCAAAAAGAGCCGCCTTTTGTCAGAGAAGGGAGGACACCGCAACTGATTTCTCGCTCCCTAGGCCACCGATCGAAGCCAGAACGGTCAGGGCGTACTCTCTGTTCCTTGCTCTCTGCCGGAGTAGATTTTCTCGGCAGCGCGTACCCTCGATCGACGGACAGACGCATGCGCGTGGTGCCCGTTGCTTGTTCGAGCTGGGACTTTTTGCTGGTCTGCTTCACTTGAGAACAGAGTAATGTGTTGAAGGTCTGGAAGCAATTTTCAACGGACAGCTTGTGTACACACAGACGACGATTTCAAAAGATTGGATCAACGAGCTGCTGAGCAACTCTACTCCGGCAGAGAGCAAGGAACAGAGAGTACGCTCTGACCGGTCTGGCTTCGATCGGTGGCCTAGGGAGCGAGAAATCAGTTGCTGTGTCCTCCCTTTCTGACAAAAAGCGGCTTTTTTTGCTGTCTCGTGGCGGATTGACCTGTTTCGGCGTCTCCCATGCTTGGTGCGATGCGATATGTTTTTTTACACACGCGTGCCGAGCGACCATCAACAGCCAGCGTGCAGAATAGCAAGCCCTTCAGCGTAGGGTTGCTGGGAGCCCTTGATGGGAGCGATACGCCGAGAACTCAGGTCGCACTCGCCGATTATGTCGTCTGGATTCACCCAGCGGTGAACTGTTGGGATTAGAAATCTGGGTGGGCACCATACTGATTTCTTGCAAACTTTTCGGATGGATGCCACCCAAAAAGCTGAACCCGGATTTTGTCGACCCGCAAAACTGAAGAATCTGGCTGTATAAGAAGCCGAGTTTCTGCCCATCCTGAAAGGTGAAGCTTTTTGGGAAAGGAATCCATGTGCATAAGATTCAGCCTAAGGAAGAATAACTACACGCAGAGAAAGACTACCCATTCGAGATATACCCAAAGCGTAATTTCTCCACAACAAGGAGGTTAGCACTATCGAAAAGTGCGGTTTTGGAAGTATCTCATCGAGAGCTTTCCTGACAAGTATCAGTTGGCGCTCGCACCCTACTGGTTGTGGACATACAATATTACAGCTGAGAAATAACGATTTGAAAAATGATCGCACCCCTGTGCGCTGGCTTGCAACCTTACGGGTAGGCGGGTATTGTGCATGTTGCGGCACAACCCACCAGTGCGCAAGTACTGGGCTGCTGTACCAGGTACCCAGCCCAGACTTATCCGATTTATATCCAAGTATGTTTGTTTACTTGGAGAAACCTGCGTAGACTACTGGTACACTGCTGTTGCCGATCGCCCGGGTGGTCGCGTAACTACTGACCACGCATTTATGCAGCCGTCTCCGAAGAAGGTGGTGGTGGGGCCAGGTGATGAAGGCCACCTTCTGGTGGCAGCCGTCTTATTCCATGTGTAGAACAACTGTTATTATCCCGTCCGCGCCATCCTATTTCACCCGCCTTATGTAGGGCGACCGCCTTATTCGGGGACCGCGACTGCTCGTGTAACTTCCAATTCGCCTAACGTTGTATCCCCATCTCGTGTCTGGTGTTGCGTCAGGTTTCGGGGAGGTGGAAGTGGTCACCAGGAGTCAAAACAGAGCGGAACCAGAGTGGTTGGTGCAGATCCAGCGAAAAGGAGAGAAGCAGGAGCTTCAGCGAGCAACGGTGCGTATTCCACCACGTTTGATGACAATGGGCGATGGAAGCAACTACTGTACATGTCCGCGTTTTGTCTTGTCATTTTTCCGAGCGATCACGACTCCCTCGGACGTGTTGTACGCTATGCTGAAACGATGTAAGGAATGCGACGAACCGGCACAACTGAAGAAGGAGTCATTTCCTTTCTCGGGGTTATTGTGAAGCCTTCATGTACCACTTCCACCGTAGATGTGGTCTTCAACAGAAGGCGTATTTCATGCTCCATTAGCTGTTACCAAGTAAATATTCGGCCGTGCAACTGCGACTTTCAAATATCAACTCCAAAGTGTATCTCTACATGCACAGCGCTATCTACGCGTTATTTTTTTCTTCGACTTCAAAAGCCAGGAAGGTCCCCCCCTCCCCAACGGCCATTGTTCCCGAAGAGGGAACAGCAGCCATTCCTCCAAGTTTTCTTGCCGTTGTACTTTGGATCAATTTTCCCTCAACCATGTACCCTCTAAGGCCACTCTCCCCGAGAGAACAGTGCTACCTCCAAATATCTCGCTGTTGTAGTTGGATCCAAGTTTAAGTTTTTCCAGCCACGTCATGGACGCCTGTCGACCAAGGATCTAAGTTAACGCTTCCTAGCATGTGAAGCTGTAGGGTATTCCTTGAACGAAAATTGTGTTGTTGTTGTGCCTGGTTTTCTTCCTGCAAGCCTTTGTCTCTTCCTCTCCAATAGGGTTGAGCGACCCTATTGTTGTGCCGTTTGTCTGTTCGCCATGTTTACATCTAGCTCACTCAGGTAGAGAACGCGTATCGAAGGGCGCGGCCACGGCAAGATTTAGGTCGACGGCATGCGTTTACATTCGTACCCACGTTGATCAGCTCTGTATCGCCTTGCACCACAAGTACACCCTCCCCAGATGATGATGCCAACGTCCCTCGCCCCGATCCCCCACGACTTCGCCGTCCGATTTCTCGCTCTCTTTTGTCCCTCGCTCTGTCTCTCTGTCCCTCTCTTTCTCTGTCTCTCCTCCTTTCCTTCTCTCTCCCCGTCCCCCCCGTCTCTCTTCTTGTTCGTTTCCTGGGGGCCCGCCCGCCCGTGCGGTGGGTATTCAGGTGGAGGAGGCGTGTCCGAAGTGCGGGCACCCCAAGATGGAGTTCTACACCATGCAGCTGCGGTCTGCAGACGAGGGGCAGACCGTCTTCTACGAGTGTCTTTCCAAGGCATGCAAGCATAAGTACGCGGTCAACAACTAGAGAGAGCCTCTAGTGATATAAGACGATTGATTCGAGCACGATGTTGTTGTTGTTGTTGTTGTTGTTGTTGTTGTTGTTTGTTGCTGTCGGCGATGTGGTGTCGTGTGATGTATTTGTGCTTGAACTTGCTCGACGCTGCGCACGTCGGAGGTACCCTGTTTTCGCGTCAAGCAACTTTTTTTTTTTTGTCTATAGATTTGTCGTCGGTGTTGTAAGTTCTGTGTGTTCGCCGGCGGAAGAGGTTTATTGCAGTGTCGGCTTAGAGATGGCGGTTGGACCTTGGCTGCCAAAGCCTTTTACTTTTGCATGTTTTGTGCTGAGAGTTGATGTCGTGTGTGGATCCGCTGAGTGAGGCCGACAGAGTAAAACTTGATTTGAATATGAACCAGACGCGTGGCCTTTGACGGCGCCTGAGAATTTCTGCGCGCGACCGGTCGACTCAACTTCGCGCCCTTGGGCGATAGGGCGCCAGTTCGTGGTTCCTTACCCGTGCTTTGGCGATGTAGCTGCGCACCCCCCTTCCACCGGGATGAATGGATCCGAGTCGGTTTGATTGTTTGTGGTGTACCATGGGCAGGACAACATACGCAGCAACACCTTGGTCGTAAACGTCGTTCCAGCAAATCACCTCCGGTGCGAAGTACTGAGTAGGTGCAAAGTGCCGGAAAGCAAGTGGATCGCATCGCATCATGCTCCGAAGTTAGGTTGGTTGGCGATGGGTGTTGGTTACGTAAGCACCAGCGTCGGAAGCCCTCCCCTCGTGTTGCTGCAGGAGGAAGTTGATGGAAAGAAGGCTCTTGGCCGTTAGGGCTATGAACAGCAGTGTCAACCACTGCGCGTCTGACAAAACAGGTGGCTACGGCGTCAATGTGCTCGTTCTCCGAGGTATCCCGTGGAGGAGCATCTTTCCTTCGATTTTTCCAAATTGTCGTACCAGCGCGCCTATTGTACCACCTCCGGAGTAGCCGTATTAAGTCGCCGTGTCCGGCGGGGACAGAAATGCACCCCTGGGTGAATTCGCGGTCAACGGCGCGGGTCAGCTTCACCGCACGAAGGAGCTCTCGTTCACCGGGCCCAGATGCCCATTGGACGCCGTAACGCACAGAGATGTCCTGCCGTCCGGCAAGCGCGGCCGTTTGCGCGCACGCGCATCAGCGTCGATCAGAGCTTTCATTGCCTCCGAGCGCCCAGCCCGTTTCCGGTAGCCGTGTGTTGTGTGCTTGCACCGGCCTCACCATATTTTGCCTTGTCAAGGCGACGACATGTCCGAATGTATGTGTGCAGCGGAGAGCAGCAGTACAGTAGAGCACAGCGTGGCCGTTACCAGCCGCAAGTGGACTTGTCCGCTCCCCTGCTGATCTAGGGAACCAAGATTTGCCAAATCCCGTCCACTACTGTAGGCTTGAAACTTGTCGGCGCAACACGCAGCCCCTCCCCTAAAAAAAAATATGAAACTCGTATCTCCGCGGCGCAACCATCCTGCTGTGCACCCGCCAAAACGACCAAGCACAAGAACGCGCCCACTACAGCATCAATCGCCACCAATTTTTGACGGAAGATGGACTGAGCACCATAGAGTATGTTGCAGAAGGGTTGAACTTGATTGGTGGCGGGAATCAAGAGGTAGACACAGATGAAGTCGAAAACTTGCAAACATACAGGCACCATGCTTAGTTTCTGCCACGCCGCCGGCAACACCGAGCATTGGTAATGTTAGCTGCTGATCTTGCGGTTGTACAGCACTTGGAACTGTGCTGCAAGACGTACGACACGTGGAGTACTCTTGAATGGCGTCAGCTAGATTTGACCTGAAATTGCTGTTGGGGTGCCCCCCTGTACGCACTGAGCATTGGGCGTGTCGAAAACGCGAGGAAATACTTACACATGAACACTGCACACAAGACTGCCCCCCCCGGGTTGCCCAGACCTATCAACATCATGCCCGAACTGAAGGAAACAACGAACACCTTATTTANCTGTGCTGCAAGACGTACGACACGTGGAGTACTCTTGAATGGCGTCAGCTAGATTTGACCTGAAATTGCTGTTGGGGTGCCCCCCTGTACGCACTGAGCATTGGGCGTGTCGAAAACGCGAGGAAATACTTACACATGAACACTGCACACAAGACTGCCCCCCCCGGGTTGCCCAGACCTATCAACATCATGCCCGAACTGAAGGAAACAACGAACACCTTATTTACAGTCAATAGAAATGACACAGACAGGCCCCGAACGCACACAGCACCCCCGTATCTTTCATGCAGTTTGCGACTAACAAAATACTATGCCAATAAACAACGGACACCCAGCGCGGCCGAAAAATAATCCCCCCCGTCCACCTCCCTGCGCAACTAGGTTGGGAAATACAGGGGAGAAAACGCGCGCGCTGTTCGTCCGTCTGATATACCGTAGGGGTCGTCCTATTTCGTGGACGGATGCATCCAACGGAAGTGAAGCACGGACGGGCCTGTTCAACCACCAACAAGGACGCGCGAAATATGTCTTGAAACATGGAGTTAGAATGAATCAGACCGCACGATGTGTCGGTGCGACGTGGAGATCTGACGTGCAATAATGCCGGGCACGACATCCCCAATCCCAATCCCAAGGAGCGATATATGTACCTGCCGACCACATGAACCCATGTGCCGACCACGCAAAATGGCCTTCACCACCACCGTACACATCACCAGAAGCCTACGATGCGTGGATCGCCTGTCGCGGTTAAGGCTGTCGATATGCCTGGCCTATTCCTCGGTTCGTAGCCCTAACGACACCGTCACTGCTCCTGGACTGACCTCGTCCTTCTTTTCTCCGTCACCGTCCTCGCCCCCCAAGTCGCCCGAGGTGGTAGGGTGTAGTCCGTCTCGCCCTTCGGTCTGCCATACCCAGGGCTCTCCAGGATGCTCGGTCTCTGATGCGATAATTTCGCGATACAGTGCCATGTTCGTCATGCGTTGGTATAGCCCAAACAAGGCCGGAGGAAACGTGGTTAGTAGAGTATCTCTGGGTGGCTTCACTTTCATGTCCAACTCATCGGCGTAGCGGTGCTCCTCGCGTCCCGGGGGTGATCTTCAGGGCAGGATCACTCTCCACGTCGGCTGGAACGATTGTACCAGCTTCCCGCACGACGGACATCCTTGCGTCTGCGTCCTCCGTGTCCTTCTCGACTTCCTCCAGAATCGATTTGAGAGACCCCCCCCTATCCGCTAGCTGGTTGGATGGTGGCTGTACGGGTGCATTACGGCGAGCACGCAGCATGAAGTCAACGAGATGCTCGTCCCCAAGGGTGTTCGGGAAGATGAAAAGTTCTCGCTCGCGTGCGTCTCCATGTGCTGGCTCGTGACTGACTAAGCGCGAAGTCCCGGACTCCTCGATGCTTGCAAATATGGCACGGACGATTTTTCTTGGGTATCTCGCTTGCAACTCCTCCATGCCAAGCTTCACGCGTTCCGCTGTTACCCAATCGGCGACGTCTTGCCAGTACAGGATCTCACCTCGACGGACGACTTGTTCCACCATAGCGCGCACCGTGTCCAACGGATCTGGAGGCACCGGCGCCTCACCCCCCAATCCATGCGCATTGTTCGCTGGGTGCTCTGGCTGATTCTCGTGTCTATGCCGTCCAACCGTTTCTGATAGCAGCGGCCGCACCACCAAAGGCCATCGCTCACCGCTGCGTTTCCCTCCGCGACATCGTCATCTGCAGCATCCATGGGGTACCACCTTACCATGCTCTTGCCCGATTTCCGGTACCCACAAGCACCGCAAACGCGAGACTCTGCCTTCCTTCCTTCCTCGGCGAAAAAAGCTGGGAAGCAGTCTGGGCGTGCGCAGAGGCAGTCATTGCTGGGCCTAAAGTCTCGCACGAGAGCTGGGGGGAGGGTTTTCTCTCTTTGCGTCCACGCGGCCACGAAGCCTACTGCTCGCCCTAACCGGTCCGGGCGGAGGTGCTTGAAACCGTCGTCATTCAGAGACCTGTGGCATGCCGAACATAGCTTATCGTCGTCCGAGTGCACTACACACCTGGGGCATTTGCTACACTCGGTGCCAGGGTGGTCTGTAACCCATCCGCATTCCATACGCTCGCACGCCTTTCTTCGCTTCTTGCTTGTTGGTTGGCGTACAGATAGCACCGCTGGGGCAGAAAGTCTCCTACCCGCATTCCGCTTTCCAGGCTGATAACCGGCTTGTCTTGGGGGTTCCCGCCGTGACTCCTACGCCGAGGATCAACGGGTTGATTCCCCGCGGACTCTGCTTTTCGCCGTTCGTCTTCGGCAATCGCGCGNACCTGGGGCATTTGCTACACTCGGTGCCAGGGTGGTCTGTAACCCATCCGCATTCCATACGCTCGCACGCCTTTCTTCGCTTCTTGCTTGTTGGTTGGCGTACAGATAGCACCGCTGGGGCAGAAAGTCTCCTACCCGCATTCCGCTTTCCAGGCTGATAACCGGCTTGTCTTGGGGGTTCCCGCCGTGACTCCTACGCCGAGGATCAACGGGTTGATTCCCCGCGGACTCTGCTTTTCGCCGTTCGTCTTCGGCAATCGCGCGAGCTTTGCGGGCCGATGCCTCCCTCCTCGCCTCGCCCTGCTGTCTGTAGTTATCCTCCTCCTCGAACTTGCTCTCAAACTTGGATAGGCCACCACCCGTGACACCAACAGAGGGCCTCTTCCTGCGCTTCCTGCCCAACCGGGATTTTCCTCCCGTCCGACGGACGCGTGCACCGGAATCTCTCGCGTCGCGCTTTGTCGCGGCCGGGGGGGTGCGCACCTCAGTGGTTAGGTTGCCCTCTCTCCTGCTCCCGATCCGTGGACGTTCACTTGTTACGTCTCCCCCTGAGTTGTCGACCACTGGAGTACGCGGGGTTAGCGTGCCTTCCGTAAGCTGACGAAGGTCCCATGCTGGCTGCATACGCCCGCTTCCGGGTGTAACAGGCCTCCCAGGCTGGTTCCGAGGTGTAGCCGGTGGCGTAGCCGGTTGACCTGTGGGTTTGTTAGCCCCACCAGCCCGGTTGCCCCGCCTACCTCTCCGACGGGTCATCTGTCAGCACGACCTGTGCCGGCCGTTATCCCATGCATTAAATACCTGGCCATGGCATACGACCAAAAAGTACAAAATGTCACGTGACATGTAACAGCCTACGCAGGCGCACACCTATGCTATGTCTGTGGGCGCGCTTCGTTGTCTCTTGACAGCCATGCATAACATATGATCCTCTGCATGGGCATGCTTATGTACCTTAGAGCATGACGGACTGAAAGCTGTCGATCTACGTACTATATATGCCCGACTCGACATTTCTGCGGCGTTTCAATCTCCTGCTGCTGTATATGCACGGTCTGGAGTGTACGTAGCTGAGCGCCCCGGGTCATGTTCGACTCTAACCATGGCAAAGCAGAGCAATGCTACGGTAGGGGGGACACTTTTGAAGACATGGGTCACATGCTGTCGCCCGACAAGGTCCATATAAATGCTCGTAACTCTCTCAATTTTTGCATTTCAAGGAAATCAATTCTGCCCAGGCAGCCGCCTGGCGTATATCTCGCGGTGTGCAAAACATTATGCATTTTTTCCATTGGTTGAGGCAGTACACACCAGTCCGCCAAAACACTCCATGTGACCGAGGGGGTACCCCCTATCGTAGTATCCCTCAGCACCGAGTCTAATTTTAACTTCAAGACAGACCTACTTGCCCTCTCGAAGTCCAGATTTCCTACAAACTGTTGTGGCGGCCGGACTGTACCGGGCATTTCCATAGGTCTTTGGATGGTCTTCGTGTATCCAGTGGATGTACATGCGCAACATGCATGGGACCGTGGGTTCGAACCCCCTGGCGTGGGCCCTCCTGAAATTTGAATTTTGAACACACCATGCTTATTTTCTACCACACCAAATCGCCTCAAACCTTTTGTATTAGGTGGCAATGAGACCTATATATATATGTCGGCAGCATAATTAGGCTGCAAGACGCCAACCTTGCGCAGAGGTCGGCTCGCGTGTGAAGCTTCCTCGCGGATTTTGGCGCTGCCGCAGTGTGGAACGCTCTAGCTAAAGTCTAAATTTCTCACCCTACCATGTGTATCTGGGCGTATAAAACATACTCTGCTGTGCCCTTGCATCATGTTAACATAACTCTCGTGTTTTCTGAGCAGTTCGACCTCTGGTTGGCCCTCTAGAGCCGGTGCTGGGTGTGGAAGTCTGTTTCGCCGCGAGCCGCCTGATCAGAGGGGTTTCCACAGGGGGCTGCTTCCCCGTTGGAAGCGTTATTCTCACACTTGCTTTTTGTTTTTTTCAGTCGTGCAGCACTGGCTGCTGCCCCAATATCATGCGTCGAGCTCTCCAAGCCACACGTTCCTCACTCCCTTCCCGACCCCGACATCACCACCAATCTCGCAAGCGAGCGCTGCACGTCTACACCCACGGCGAGGGTTTCCTTGGCGCGCTGGGTCATGGCGACTTCTCGGCGCGAGAAGAGACGCTCCCCGTTGCGGCCCTCGCGTCCAGGGATCTGCGCTGCGCTAGCGCGGGCTGGACGCACTCCGCTGCCGTCTGCAGAGACACCGGGGAGGTGCTGGTGTGGGGCCGGCCGTTCGACCTGAAGCAGCCCCTGCGGATAAACCGCATCCAGCGCCTGTTCCCGTTCGTTGTCACCGCGATCAACGCCCTCGCGAGCTCGAGAGAGGTCCTCCCGAGCCCGGTCCCCGTCCCGCTGATCGCGAAGCCCTCCGCGGCTTCGACGGCCTCTACGATCACCGCCGCCTTCCACGACGCCCGCCCGTCGTCGTACTCTCTACCGGCCCCTTCCTCCCTCAGGGCGAATAGCGTTGCGTGCTCGGCCGCCCTCACCGTGGTCCTCGGCGAAGATGGCAAGGTCTACTGCATGGGGTACAACCGGTGGGGTCAGTGCGGCCAGGGGCCCGAGAACGAGTTCACCGTGTTCGAGCCGCTTCGAGTCGGCGGGCGCGCGCTCGAGAGGGAGCAGGTGGTCAAGCTGGCCGTCGGCCTCCAGCAGGTGCTGGTGCTCTGCGAGAGCGGCCGGGTGTTCGGCTGGGGAAAAGGGTTGAGGGGGCAGCTGGGCGTCGGCGACGAGACGATGGAGCTCCCTGAGGAAGGTGGGTCGTTCTCCGGCGGTGGGAACGTCTGTTGTCTGTTGTTGCTGTCTCCCATGGCGCGCGGTGTGTTTGGTTGACTGCTCCGTACTCGGCGATTGCACGGTAGCACTCCGCCGTCGATGTAGTGTGTAGTGTGAGTGCATAGTCTGTCACAAAAACATCAGTTGGCACAGAGTCGGACCTGAAAAAACTCTGGCGCCCAAACACGGATCGCGCGCGTGCGTTTGCACCCACCCATCCGTCCCTATCCATGGCTGCGCTCCCAAACGCACGCACTCATGTACTGCTGCGTGCAGTCCCGTGTCGACCAGGCTACTGGCCGTACGTGTTCGTAAGCAGTTCTTGTTGCACTGCTGTCGAGCTGTTGGGCGAAAAAATCGCTACGTGGCGCTGTTGATGTTCTATTCTAACCCGGGTGTTTCTACCGTGTATAACACTAGATAACACACCCCCTGGACCGATTTACAAAGCTCGATTACTCCACGAAGAGGATGCATAAAGGAAACGATACATTTTCGACAAGCTCTCGACGAGAAGGTTTTCGACGCCGCCGTTTTCAGTGCTGTGACTGTTCCGGCAGTTGAGAAATCGAGCTTCGAACATCGGTCAAGCGGCTGTGACTTGTGTCGTGCGGTGTATATATGCCCCACGTGCTTGTAGTCTATGCATCAAGAACGACACGTTGACCAAAGCAGTACACTTCATAAGTCGCCTGGTGCACATCTCAGACGGGCGTCTGTATCGAGATCACCCATAGTCGTTCCAAGATTGCTCTTTCTCTCTTTCGCAAAAGAGCCGAATTGACGCTCAACCCCCCTGCCCTCCCCCCCTCCCTCCGTTGCCCATGCTCCCCCGCAGTCGAACTACCCGGCAAGGTCGTGGACCTCCGCAGCGGTTTCAGCCACGCCGTCGCCATCCTCGAAAACGGTGATGTCTACACCTGGGGCAAGATGCAGGGCACGGAGGTGAAGACGGACGGCAGGGTCCCCGTGTATCATGACCAGCTTCACCCCCGCAAGGTGGACGTCGGAGGAGGCCGAGCCGTCGAGGCCTTTTGCTCATCGTCCAACACCATGCTGAGGATGGAGGACGGCAGGGTGCTCATGTGGGGTTTCGAGGCCGACACTCGGAGAACGGTGCCGACGCCGGTTGAGGTGAGAAGGGGAGAGGGCGAAAGCAGAGAATGCGGATCAGTACTTTGGTGTCAAGCCACGAAATGTTGGTAAGGTTTGCCAAACATGATATTGTATGACGAACACCATCAGATGTTGATGATACCGCAGGTTGCATGAGATATCACACCCCCTGGACCGATGTTCAAAATCGATTACTCGGCAAGAAAAGCGGTGACGGTGCCGGAAATGGCGGCGCTGGAACCGCGTCGTCTACAGAGTTCCAAAACGATTCAGTTGACATAAACATCCTCTTCGTGGAGAAACCGAGCTCCGAAAATCGTTCCGGAGGGTGTGGTATCTTACCTAACCCACGTTAGCATTTCTGCCAGACGCGGGAAGTGAGTTGTGGAGTGGTTGAGCTATGAAAATCGATCCAGGGGGGGTAGAGCAGAGACACCAACAGAATGGCAAAGGATGCGCATTTATTCGTGCGTTCTGCAACAATAGCGAGGCATCTGCGTGCCCCGAAATAATCCTGAATTATGGTGCGTACTATCCTGCTGAACAGCAAACTTCGCTCGCTGTCGGGTTGCGTATCTCCCCGGGCCCATCTACCCCCCCGCAAATCGTCAAGCGCTTTGACTTGAGCTGAATGTAGGCATGGCCGTCGTAGTATCTGCTGGTGTTAAATCGAGCGGAGCGTTTTGTAATTGTTGCTGCTACACGAGTAGCCACAATATGCCTAGCCACGATGTATTTTTTTCCTTTTTCTACGCGGATGTTGCACGTGTGGGCTGTCACCGCCGAATGTAAAATCGGCTCTCTACGCGGATATCACGCAAGTTGTTGAGGTTTGAGATAAAAGCGGGTGCCGTGGATGTTCTCGTGTACGATGGGATGTCCTTGAATCACCATCGGGTTGTTGGTAGGTTGACAGACATTGACAACAACAGCAATAGCAACGGCAGAGCTGGGATTCGAACGCGTGGTTTACACAGGCCGCGGCATCGTTCCCTCGCCTTGAGCGCGCTCAGAGAAAATTGGTGGGAAACACTTGATCCGCGGCCATCCTCATCCTCCGCCTCGGCGGCGGGGAGTTGGTGGCCCGGGTTGTTTTGTACCCCTCTATCCTTCTCGTTTCATGAGGCACAAGCGCAGCGAAAAGCTCGAGATTAAACCCCCAGATTTGCACGCGTTGAGAACGCTGTCGGGTTCGTCCTGACGCGGCTCCGCACCGCACTGGGCTCTATATTCCCATCCTTGGGCGATGCTGTCTCCTTTCCCTGTTGAAATTTCTTTTCCTTTTTTTCGCCCTCGGGTGGAAACTTGGGAGAGAGTTTGACAAAGGGGGGGCAGCTATTACGTGTCGGGGAATAACCATAGAGCGCACATGTATTTTTCGTTTTTTCTGTGTGTGTGTGTTTTTTATTTACGTTGATTTTCAGCCGCAGAAACGAAGGGTTCAAGGGGAAGTACATTTTGTTTGTTACTGCAGCACCCCTGTTGCAGCCATGTCCACAAGTAGTGCTCCGCCATTTGGCCCGTAGAATAGTTGCTGCTGCCGACGCGCTCAAGGCACACGGTTGTTTTGGGCACCAGGTCGAAGTAATCAATCCTCCCCCTCTCGGCAAAACTGACCCGCCCGCGTTCCAACCAAAAATGTTGTCGTGCCAGGTGGACATCCCAGCGTCTGAGCCCGGATCGTTCTTCGGCGGTTTCAATGACACCATTGTCAAGACAACAACCGCAGTCGATCTTCCGACCTTCCATCGGGTCTCTTTCACGAGCGCGGGCGCGAGGGTAACTCCTTTCACCTTGCCCGGCCTAGCCGAAGGGACGCGCGTAGATTCCGTCTCGGTAGGCTGGCAGCACACTGTCGTTCTGGTGCATTAAGCAGAGGGGGGTGGAGTGCTTTTTGTAAATGAAACGATTCTTGACGCATGCAGCAATACTCATTGTCATGTACAGTTGTTTGTGATCCAACCCAGCAAGAATGTGCGGGCTGAAAGTAGTCATTTCTGGTTGGTGACGTCGGACGCGTAAATGAGACGGCCCCTGACTTCAGAGGAGAAAAACGCCTGTTCGAGAGGAAGACATACATTTTGTGTGCGTCGAAGTTTTCTTCATGTGAAGGAAAGGAATGTTGATGTTATGGCACAGAACAACATATTCGCACGATTGAGAGCGAAGTATCTGATTGAGAGCGAGATCGTGCGATACGATGTAGGTTGTCTACTGCTGAGAGGTAGAGCTTGCTGTGCGGCTTGAATTGAAGGGCTTGCCCATAGCTACAAGCCGATACCCGGGTCATCCTGCGGGTGTCTCGCGTTGTGGAGCTATACGGCGGAGTAGAAGCTACGGGAGGGCCTACCGCGCCAGGCGACGGCGCCCTGAAACAGTTCCGGGCAGGAATAGCCAATGTGGGGAAATCTAGCAACGTGCGTAGCTCCTCGCTGCTGCAGCCGATCGCAGTGACACGCATATGCACGCGAAGCTGCTGAAGAGAGCTTCAATTTGCGCCGCTTTTTGGAAGAGCCCGTCCCCTGCTTCCCGAGAAATGACGGGAGGCGTCTGGACCCGAATTTCAATTTTTTTGGTACTCGCTCTCAATCGGAAACTTCGCTCTCAATCGTGCGAAAACTCTGTTACAGAGGGAATGGTTTGTGGACCGGGAGTGGTTTCGGGACTCCTTCCTCCATGAGATTTTCGGGTGTTCCTTGTCGGAAGGGGCGGGCTCATTCTAGCGGCGGCAATCTTGTCAAGACTCGTGGAATTAAAATTTGAACATTCGAAATTTGTTGGTCTCTCACTCTCGTTCAGACTAGTTGGAAGTGTTTCAATGAAGTATTTCTTGCTTCGTCACGCCCTTTCTATTTTGCGTGCGAATGTTGCTGAATGTTTCGGCGGTGCAACGTAGGCTAGACTGTCACATTATTAACAGTTGGTCTCGTTGGGAATAGTAATAGTTGTTAGTGTTGGTTCATTAACCCCGCCTTCCCTCCTTCCGAATAAAAAAACATGCCCTCTGCGATTTCGCACAACGGCTCACTTTCTTACTGCCACCGTTCTCCAACTTTTGTGTGGTTGAAATGCGTTTTTCGTGCCTCACAATGTTGGCGCAACACGTAGTTCCATAAGATGATTTGTGTAAATATTAAGCCCAGTTTGATGCTACTTGCGTGGCTCCTGCGCGAAAGTGCCGACACGCATGCACGTACGCCTTTAGTCTGTTCCGCGGCGTGCACATCTCTCGCCTCCTCAATGTGTCGGGGGTTTTGACTTATATGTGCTCCGGGTACAGTATTTCCGCTTGCTGTGTCCAGCAAGAGGCGGGAACCGTAACGCAAACCGCACGTTAACATGACTACTAGCAGGTGACGTTTACCTTGAAAAGCAAATGTCAGTACGAACTTGACCATAGAATTTAGATGGAGGCATGGGCAGCTTGAACTTTTATCTGAGCAATGAGCGGGTAGTTGCCAACGGACAAGGACATTCCTTTGGGAATCCCTGTCGTAACGTTCACAAAGCCGCCGTTTGCCGGTACCGATGACCCAGCTCTCTTCCACGCTAGCGGTGTCAACCGTTACACTACACGAAGGTCGTGTGAGTCCGGCCGATACGTCAGGTATGTACACCGAAAGGCCTGTAAACCGGCGCCGGAATATACATGGGACTGGACCAACACACACACATTTGGCTTTGGAGGCAATGACGCTACGGTGCAAAATAGTGATCAACGACCAGCCCATCTTGACTCTCAAGTCAACCAACATAGAGATTTTTCCTGTAGACCTCTGATCACTTGCGCCCTGTGTATTGGGTAACAAAGCTCATTTTATTCGTCGATTGGGTAGCGAGGAGGCAAGGCCGTCATCCATCATGTTCCGGGCTGCTGATGATTCATTCGACCTATTTATGCATAGAAAAGATGTTCACGAATGGTAACCGCTTCTCCCTTCCAAAAACATTTACCTGTGGAACGCAACATGAAAATGCACCCGAACGGCCTGCAACCAACGTGAACACCTGAACTCTCAAGACCTCTGTCACCCTGATATAAGCACCTAGTCTAAATAGCACATGAAAGTGCATGGTGTATATTCTAGATGAAGCGAAAACAGCAGTATTATTAGAGTCTCATTTTTCTAGCTTTCTTTATTCGTTGATGTTCTTGTGTTCAACAGGGTGACAGTCCCTCCAAGGCAAGTCACGGCCGCATAGTAGCCGTCAACACTCAACACACGCACACACCACAAGACACGGTCACACGGCTGTAATTCATCGGCCTCAACATCTATCATGTGCACTCTTTGATGACGTTCGAGTAAACTCTTCCATTGATGGAAAACTGTGGAAACTAACTCTCCATGTTCAAACAAACTCTTCTTGCATGAACGAAAAAAAACGAAGGCTACTCCCTCCCGCGGACAGGTTGGTCTGTTCAACCGTGGCATGGCAACCCTTACAGAGCACTCGACAGATACAAGTAGAACAGCAGCAGTCAGTCACTGTTTTCGTTTATATTTTTCCTGGCATGCAGTGATTCAACAGCGGTTTCAAGCGCAAAGACAACTTCACCGCCACCCCGAACTCAAAACCATTTTCACAGCTAGCTAGAAGCGGTGGCACAATACAAAAACGCGCTCGTTTTCCAAACGGTTGTGGGCCAACCAATTCGGGCCAACCAATTATCACCACCAGCTAGCTAGCTGAAAGCGTCGGCACACAACAAATTAACCTGTCGCAACGGGTACGGGTCAAGAGAGCCACAAAGTGAGCAGGGATTCAAAAGCCAGCCCGCAGTGTAGCTACAAACAGGGGCGTTCCGATCTCTCTACCCAATACGTTCATCTGCCCGTCCTGATCAAACACGTGACAGAGCGATTCCCGTTGTCACAGGGTGACCTACCTAAACAAGGTGTAATCAAATAAAATGGACCCAAACAGGTGGTACCCCAAAGCCTGGTATATACATAGTCTACATACATGCCCGCACACGCGCCGAAATTAATGCGGTGGAATAGAGAGTAGCAGAGCGCCAAAACTACGACAACCAAGTCCCGCAAACGGCGTTACATGGGACAACACAGCACAGCACGCGCGCACAACACCCCCCCCCCCAACAAA